CGCTCTGTCGCCCAGGCTGGAGTGCAGTGGCCGGATCTCAGCTCACTGCAAGCTCCGCCTCCCGGGTTCACACATTCTCCTGCCTCAGCCTCCGAGTAGCTGGGACTAAAAGCGCCCGCCACCATGTGAAGGGCATTTTTAACAGTACTGACTGCTTGATTCCTTTTCTCTCACCCAGTTTGATTTCTCTGATATTATTGGAGCTTCACACTCTCTTTAAAAGCATTATTCTCTAAAAGGAAAAATGCTCATAACAAATTAATCTAGTAAACCCATAAGAAATGCCCAGCTAATATTTAAAGGTTAGTTTGAAAAATAGATTCTATAAGTGTATTTCTAGACAGGTCTAAATCTGAGTGACAAAGGCTACTTAATTATGGGCTGAAAAATAAAAGAAGCCATTGATAACATAACAGCACGATATGATAGTCATAGCTGCATGCATTTCACTTTTGAAGTTAAATCTTTACCAAATGATGTTCATTTTTTTTTTCTTTTTTTTTTTTGTTATTAGAGAGCAGAGTTCTGTAGGAAAAGTCATTGTCTAGCTGTGCGACATTATGCAAGCCACTTAAGCTCTCTGGATATCTTTTTTTTTTTTTTTTTTTTTTTTCGTTTTTGGCTTTCTCTCTCTCTCCCGGCCTGGGGTGCAGTGGCACGATCTCAGTTTATGGAACCCCCCGCCTCCCAGGTTCAAGCAATTCTCGTGCCTCAGCCTCCTGAGTAGCTGGGATTACAGGCATCTGCCACCAAGCCCAGCTAATTTTTGTATTTTTAGTAGAGACGGGGTTTCACCATGTTAGCCAGGCTGGTCTTGAACTCTTGACCTCAAGTGATCCACCCGCCTCAGCTTTGCAAAGTGTTGGGATTACAGGTGTGTGCCACCGCACCCAGCCTGGATATCTAAAAGTGTTAACCTCTAGTGTCATTTTCAATATTAAATTCTACAATTCCTTCAAACCCTAGTCAACCTAATAAAAATTCAGTTATATTAAAAGATGGAGTTAGGAAAACATTGGAAATACATAATAAATTATCGGTAACCTTTCATTTAATAAAGGGCCTTCTTTCACTTTATTTTCAAAATAGCAAGCTAATAAGTGAAGGAATAAGTAACATTTTAAACATTAGCAGAATATGATTGTCAGAATTTTGTTTAATTACAGTTACATTTCATCACACGATAAAAATATAAGAAAACCAAGTAATATTACAGTGTTAGCTTTATTAAATAACTTGTGGGTAAAACCATCAATTTTGTTGTTCAAAATCTCAATCATGCAAAGTTGTGATGTAAAGTAGTACTTTTGAACTGCTTTACCTTTAAGTGATGGAGCAAATTTTAATAGTGCACAACCTCATAGCAATATCATTCGTAAATTTTTTAGAATTATGAATAAGACATTGTTAACAATAGATTAGGTTTATTTATTGATGGTTAAAAACTATGACTTCAGAAGAAGATAATTCTTCAATTATGTATTTCATGTATTTTTACCAAGGGGAAAAATCACACAGACAGATTTTAAAATAATTTAATTTCCTAATTTTATTATTGCCTCATTATTATAATATTTTCTGTTCTGCCAGAAATTCACATTTCAGTTCCAGGGACAGCTGTTGCTTTGTGTCTCATCCCAAAACATAGTTCAGCTAGTTTTTAAGTACAGATGTCCCCAAATTATCATTTATCTAGAATAGATTGTTACTAAAAATGAAGTATGCCAAATCATGTATTTTCCAACAGAAGCAAATTTATAATGGGTGTTTTTTTTTCTTAACAAGGGCCTAATGTCCAAAGTTATTTCTTATCAAACTGATCATAAACATTATATTGAACCAACTACAAATGACATCCCTTTATGATGTACAGTATAAGACTTCACAAAGTATATATAAATTAAATAAAGATTTACAAAAAGCAAATATATAACACATTATTTAATATATTTTAGAGATTCATAGGGATAAGGATTTTGCAGGATGGGGTAATTCTGTGTGGATCTATTAAGGAAAAGGTAACTTCAGTGGAACACACAGAGTGGGTCAAAAGCCAAAAATGTGTGTGTGTGTGTGTATGTGTGAGTGTGTATGTGTGCGTGTGTGTCAGCATGCACTAAGGTTGGGGTGGAGGGGGCCTCTGCAGGTCTTGGAAAGTCTGTCATCTGCAATAAAGATGGAACTGGCTTTTATGTCAGGGAGCAGCCTGAGTTGTCATTTATGCACTGCTTGCTATAACTAAAGTAATACAGTATCTTATAACTGGAAAGAATCGCACTCTGTTATCAGTTTTCACAACAAAGTTGGAGCTCCCCCACTCTACCCACTGATACATATATATATATTTTTATAAGAGTAAGCATTATTTCTTGAACTATGCACTATACATGTGAATCTGAATTTGATTTCAAATTATTATTTCATATTGACTTATATTTTGTTAATTTCTGATGGATATTTAATATCAAGATACTACTATCCTTTTGTTCTTTATTTTCCCTGGCTTTCAGTCCCTCTGTAAAATAGTTAATGATCTGGAACTACTTTCTCAACCATTTTCCGATGTTTTCTTTGAGAGAAATCCTGCAGTGACTTAAAAACATAAAATCATTATCTCAGTTTCCTTCTTTGCCTGACTTTGGGTTTCTGAATTTCGGACACCCGATAATAAGCAACTCTTTTGAGGCTGTGGGTCTCTTGAGGGAATTGATATAACAATTCAGTCCTAACATTAGCACAGCAACAGGCTGAGGGTGTAGACCTTGCTCCATTCGATGTTCAATTAAGTGCAGAAAGGGTTGATTTTATGCTCACAGTCTAAAATCATCCTAATAGCAGGAAAGAGTGAGGAACTTAATTGTTTCAACAGCTAACATGGGCCCCAAATAATGATTAGAAAATTTAAATCCATTCATTCTTCTGACAATTGGAATGTGGAGTTCAGACTAGGGAAACAGGCATGGAAGATAACTTTAAAAAACTTAGTGAAACAGCATTGTAAGAGGAAACATTTCTACTACAAATGTATTTTTCTTCTCTCCTTCAAACATTAATATTTATAAGATGTTAAAATCTTAAGGTAGCAGAAAAATGTCTGAAAATTACAAGTATAATGTGGTTTTCATATTATTTAGTAATTTTAGCATATTTTATTTATCTAAACTTCAGTTAATTTAAATCATTGTCTACTGAAGTTTATCAGGAAAAACCTAATGTATAAAGGTATTATAAAAAAAAGTAATTTCCCCAATTTTTGTTGATAATGGAAGCTTCTTGAGGCTCACATGAAAAAAATGTAGCCTTGATGTTATCAATTATGCAACAAAGTTGTGACAAATGCCATATAGTAACACCATAAAGTGCTAGAAAGTGATAAAAATTCCAAAAATTATCATCAATTACTATGTGATTGTGATAACTTCGTAGGACGACTAAACACAAACACCTACTTAATGTTTTTTAGTTTGACTACCACTTTAGGATAAGACTGAATTTCAAATAACTGGATGACAATTTACGAGTAAATAAAGTTTATACCAATCATTCATGAGCTACCAGAAATCTAATGAATTGCCCCATAACTCCTCTCTACTGGTAGAGCTGGTGATGAGTTCAGCAAGAGTAGAGGCATCTGAAAATCTGGGAAAACACTTAAATGTACAAGGGTTTATTTATTTTGAGGCCATGTGGCATTTCTCAGCTCCCACTACGTCAAACTGGGAGACGCCTTGAAGCCAAGGAAACATTCCTAGACCAGGAGCCTGGAACTACGAGAAACGATTCTTGGCTCCTTCTTTGCCATTAAACAAATTACAACATCCATGGGTTTCAGTTTAACACAAAGTGGGGCTTTATTCTACATGACCTTTAAGGGTGCTTCTACATCTAGCTAGCATTCCACCTGCCTGGAAAATGTGCCCAACTTCCACAAGACTCTATAAACTGTCTAGTGCCTCCTCTGCTGGTGTAATTGCACAAATGCTACAGGATTCACATCCTTGAGTAAGAAGGTAGGGATTTGTGGCAGGTCCACAGAGAAAATGGGGGCAATCTTCCAAATATGTTTATAGAGAATGCACAACACGTAAAATATGTTTATAGAGAGTGTTGATCTCGTCTCACAGATCCAGCCCTGCCCACCAGTCTCACCAACAATTTATGTTCATGATAAAATTCAAGCGAGGTTGGCTATATAAAAGTGATGCTCATGTTCCTGAAGACACATTTTACTGTGGGGACTTGGTTACACATTCTTTCTTGTTCAACGTTTTGCACTAAGCCGAAAGATGCATCTTTGTTGGGAATGTAGTGTCTTCCTCTAGTGACATTAAGACATAAAGCAACAGATGTCCTCTGTAAGTTGCGTACTTAGTATGAGGTGACAGGGAAGAAGGCCAAGTCCGTGACACCGGCCTTGGGTTAGAATGTTAGAAAGGTAGAGACCAAGTGTTACTCTGGACGTTTAATTGTATTCTTTAGCATTTAACCTGAATTGTTGCCTTCATGACTAGTTGCCATCCTCCCTCTCTATTCTCTCCATGGGAAACTGCACTTCATAAATTTCATAGTCTACAAACACACACTCCATAAATTTCATAAGCTGAATTTGTGTGGCATGTCACCCACTGTTACAGCTATTAATGCATATCCAGTGGCAAATTTTTATCGATTTTGAGAACGCTGTGTTTGGGAGATCATATAGTTAATGACTGATGAAGTAATTTGAAATATTTGAAATTGCAAGGTATTTACAGACATGAGCACAGGATTGGAGAAACATGTATAATTTTCACTTTGTGCAGTCTTCAATAGAATATTTTAAAATAAAACATGAATTGTTAAAGCCCTACATCTTAGTTCCATTAGGTATATACTGCCCACTTATTATGCTGTTATAATAATCAAAACTGGAATATAATTTTTTAGGAGAATATCATTTCCTTAGCTTGTTTTCACTGTATCACTAATGGCCAATTTTATTAAATGGCTCAAATAACCTAGGGAGTAGAGTCCCCATGCTTTTTTTTTTTAACAAAGTTTTCTGAGATACTGGCCAAACTAGGAGGGACACACATCAATTTTTATGATGTGTTTTTAATATCTACAATAAAGATATGACATGCAATAAACTGGATCTGTAGAAACTACTACTAACAATGTAAAGTTATTTATCAGTCCACTGTTTCTATACTGAATAGACGGTGTAAGAGGTTCACCCTTTTATAGGTGATGAAAGATTTTCAAACCTAATTTCCCAATGAAGACAGAGAAGAATTGTGCAAGATACTAGGACTAGTTCTCTAGGTTCTATTTGGTGAAAAAGGTGAGGTTTATGTTTTATAAACATGTTTCCATCGATTTCACATGCTCTATCAAACAGCATCTTCCCTCAACTATAAATATATATTTCTTATTTTATTGATTTCAAATTGTGGCAGTGGCCAGAACCTATTGATTCATACATATTTGCTACTTGCATAAATAAATTAGTTCTGAGTGCTTGTTTGTTCAATACATAAGTGAAAGATGTGTTTGCTTTTCCACCTCTGCCCCCACCCCCCAGAATGGGAAACTATTGGATCAAAGTTGTTTTGTACTTTCCTGCATTTTAAGTGTAATGTCATGTGTCAATCATGTGTACATTAATTCATATTATCAGAAGAAAAAATTGGGAACATAAAAAATAAGTCCCCTCATGTAATCTTTCAGTGAAATGGATACCTCCTCTAGGCTTTGTCTGTTTTCACAACTGCTATTCCTTACACTAGGTTCCTTTAACATTGGTCTCTTCCAACCTGATGCAGAAATGGTGACCATCTATTTATCTGTACAAATCTGAATGGAATTCAAACTGAGTCACTTTCAGAAGGAGCCAAAAGGTATCTTTGGTTCATAGTAATTCCTCCCTCACATTGAAAAAGACACATATATTAAAGATATCATACAACTTTTGAAGGGAGAAATGACTTACAAAGTGTAGAGGCATCCCCAGTCAAAAACCTATGAGCTCAAGCGAGTGGTGTACATATCCATGACCCTTCTGGTTGCTCCAGTGAAATTGATTTTATGAAGTTCCAGGAGACTGATACAGTGACTTTCCATCTTTGGTTTTGGTAGAAGATTTATCTGTTTGTCATTTTTATTACAATGAACACTGCTTCATGTCAAGTATATTAGGATAATATAAGTTCTCCTATCTGTTCATTTAGCAGTCTTGACTCAGCTACAAGTGTGAGTGTACTTGGAGGAGTATGCTAGAATTAAGCTCCAAGAATGTGCCATGAGATAGATTACAGCATTACTCTCATTGTGATGAGATCTGGTTAAAAACTTGCAAAGCAGATTTCTCTCACACCCTCTTTTTTTACGACATCATTTTCAGAATGAACTGGACCAAGGTTATGCCTGATCTTTGGTGCTCCTTCAGTTATAGTCATTGGTAATGATCAGAATCAAATGGAGTTCTTGAAAGCAATTACATGCAGGTATTTGTCCCCTAAGAAACAGATGCAAGAGCAGACTCTTCTAATTAGCAGAATCCCTCCCTGGACTCGCTGTTTGTGCTTCCAGCACATGAATAAAGCTGAGATGTGAACCAGGACCCCTGAGGGCCGTTCCCCATAAGTCCCGTGTAGAAACTTGTGGTGTCTAAGCAACAGCTCAACTGAGTGAGCCGGCGAGAGGCTCGCTCTGAATGTGGCCCCACTAGGAACTGTGCTCAAATGTTCTCAGCTGGGAGTTGCTCTGGTGTATTTGACTAAAGACATTTCAAAAGCAAATACCATGTGCAAAAGAAATTCACAAGTGTTTAACCCCAAAAGCTGTGATTTCAAGGAAGGCTGTACAGTTGTAGGAACCAGTCATCTGCTCCTCTGCTGTGTCAGCAAAACTCACAGTGCAGAGAACTTGGGTAATTTTCTTTTTATCCCTGAAAGCTTAGGATAATTATTTTTTGCAGCCACATTAACTCTTATGATTAGTATCTTGATGGGGTTTTCATACCTAGTGGAGTGATTTGGAGAGCGTAGGTAGTTGCTGTAAGTGCACATTTATCTAGGAGGGATCCGGAACCACTTTTATTTGGTAGTAATTCACTGAAATGAATTGTCAGTTTGCAGTCAAGCTATGGATAGGGATGAAAAGACCACTCATCAGAGATCAGCAAAAAAGGCACCCTTTCAACAGACTAATTTGGATAGTTTAAAAATTTTTCCTATTAAGAAAAAAAAAAAAAAAAAAAAAGCTGGGTTTTCATCTTGCGTGACCTGAGTTCACTGTTCTTTAAACCCGCCCTAGAGTATTTGAGAGATAACCATCTTAGGCACAAAGCATCAGATGATTCAGGCAGGATAATTTTTATTTTTACTTGAGTTAACTCCAAAATTAAGGGCAAATATATCTTTGTTGACCTGAATTAGCCAAACTCTTTCAGTTTCCGTGGAAATCACTACCTCCCTTTAAACACTGTAAGGTTTGTAATCAGTGTCAGGGATGATGAAAATTATATTTGATCCATTTTATTTCTTATAATCTCAGACAACCTGTGTCCAGTAAAAGAAAAAATAAAGCCCTGCAAGTTCTGGTTACACAGTAAATAATAGGCCCCCAGTGGTTTTCTGAGAACAGCATCTATGACATTTTAAATATTGGTATCCACAATCCTGTGCCCATTTTGTTCTTCTCTTTATTGCAAAATAGCTGAGTTCTTTTTAGGTGTATTATTTCTTTCCTAAAGAGTTTTTCATTTAGAACCTCTCTTTTCTCTCAAGGTTAAATGGAAGCTGATCAGTATTCACACGGAAACCTCACATAGCTCAGGTGGATGGCCAAAGGGAGTAACATTGTCAACAACAAGGAAACACTCACCAGAAAGACAGTGTATGACATGACGTGTCGGACAGCTAGACTAGTTCTTTTGCTTCCGAATGTTCCCCTTCTCACATTTTTGCTTACACTTGTCATGGGAACAGACTGGATTACATATACTTTTGCTAATAAGAAGCCTTTTTTTTTTTTTTGCAGCACTATTTTTAAAATAGCTATTCAACATAACAATCTTAATTTTAATGCACCGAATTATGGTTTTCAACAATTTAAGTGAGCATATCCTGTCACCCTCAGCACATGTTTGATATATACTTGTTATATATAGATGGATACAGCAATATCCATATTTGTCTACACACACACACACACACACGCACACACACACGAGTAGAGCTACAGGGCCCTGCTTAATAGTGTGTTCTGAATTTCATGTTCCTTTAATTGTCACTGGGTTTATTTATATGCAGCTATGATGTCATTTGTAGAGCTTACTGTATTTGTCCCTGTCAAAACTTTAAAAGCCACAGAGCTTGTGGAGGGTCACCACTATGTCTAAGGACAGACCCTGTGCTCAGATGGGAGGACTGCGCTGTGAGATGAGAGGTGCCCGCCACCCAGGCATACCCCAACGTGGGCAACTCTTCCCAGTGCTGAGGCTTCTGCTACTGTCAGACCCAAAGAGTTTTGTTTATTTAAATAACTGTTCATACGATTTGGATTCTATTCATGTAAAACATAGATTCCCCCAAAGAAATTCAATAAATAAAGGACTTAGCCACTGAATCAAGGAAGCAGAACTCCAGTTTTTAACCTTCCAATGGAACTGGGGCTAGAGCAGACCCATTTCAATTTGTACTGCAATCGGTCTTCCAGGAGGCAGAGGGTGCAATGACCCCACAGACGGGTCCAGGACAGACTGTCTCTCTAGTCAGCAGCGGCTCTCTGTGTGTCATTGGATGAGGCTGGAGCTGTAGCTGAAGCCATAGCTGCTGGACCGCGACAACGGCTGCTGGGCCTCTTCACTCTGTTCTGGGGCGTAGCTGGGAAATGTCTGTGCACGAGACATCTTTGACGAACCAAACCCATGACCTAGAGAGGAAGAAAGGAGAGCTCTACTGAGAAACAGATTCAGAAGCACAATTTCTACCTACCTACCTACCTATCATCTGTCATCATCTATCATCTATCTATATCAATCATCTATCATCTATCAGATGTCTATCAATCTGTCACTCTCCTTTTTAAGAACAATAAACAAGGCAGCAGCTTTCATATCCTCAATATTGAGCTCAAAATAAATTGGTAAAAATTGAGCAATTTTGTTGCCTTGATTCTTGATGAGTTAAAATGTATTCAGAGCTCAATATTTCCTCCAAATGTACTTTGCCAAAAATTCTGGATGCCAGAGAGCTAGGTAGGTTTTCTAGGGGATCTCAACCTTCTACTGTTCTTCAGCTTTTGAAATAAACGCAGAAAAGCTTTTCCCCAGAAAAAGCTGTCTTTGATGGAGAGCCTATAAGCTGCTTTCTTTTCCTTTATGCTCAATTTCAGCATACACAAGAAAATTACACACTTTCTTAAAATCTCTGGGAACAGGCAAGCTGTGTTTTACCCTAACCAGTAACCATCAATTATCAGGAAAAAAGCTTTTACAATGATAGAGGTAGAGATTCTGACTTATCCTAGCGGGTGTGTGTCACCGCCACTGAAATCACTTCATGATATGGTTCACCCAAACAATTAAGCTCGATGGTTACCAAAATGACCTAAGAGTTAAATTCCATACAAAATGCATTTAAAGAAAATTCTATCTATGCTTTTGGTTGTTCAGCTCCACCCCTGCCATGAGAAGTAGTCTATCGCAAACCAAAAACAGAAGTGATTACCGAAAACTTTTCAGAATGCTAACAAAGTACAGAGAAATGCATGCATGCTAACTAAGGCTTCTGATGAACTTTCCAGTCGTTTCCTCATCTTTATTTATTGTTTTTTTCCCCCTCATCCGTTTTAAGCCAGCAATTATTCTTCATACTTGAGAATGATTTGTATCTAATGGATGAGCTTAGAGGGAGAAGAAAAGTAGATGTAGTAAGTCACGCTCTTTCAGAGTTTCTGTTTTACCCAAAGAAGGGGCTGTGCTGAGTCTGATTTGTGTGTTATCCGATCGCTTGGACGAGGAACACAGAGAAGACAATCTGTTAACGCCGAGCACCGACCATCTCTGTGTCAGGCTCCTCAGGTGGCTCTGTCCTTGGCAATGTCACTCGCTTTAAGCCTGTTTTATTGCCAGGTGTGTTTGGCGACGTGGAAAATACTCTCAGTGTGGGAAGCTTGGTATGCAGGGAGGAAACGCAAATGAACTGGGTAGTAAAAGGCTAATTAAAACGGAACCACTTAACCACTTAGTGGTAGAAACACTTAAACGGCAAAATACTGGGAGAAAAATCTTGCATTTAAAAAACAGTTATTTTAGATTCACGATGTCTTGGATTCTGTTGCTGCCCACACAGGCTCACCAAGGGTGGATCAAAAAGAGGGGCTTTTCCCTCGCACCTCCTGCCCCACACCCCTGGCTCTGCCGGAGCCAGTCCTCTGGGTTTCCAGAGCTTTCTGCCCCACAGCGCCTGGAGGCTCTACTAGTCCCTCTCTTCCCTCTCTCCCAGGATCCTGCCCTGCACTCCTCGCCTGGCTTGCGGGACTGAGGGGAGTGATGCTTCCTGCTGTTGCGCATGCCCGCATTTTCTCATCGGTTCCCCCAGCTCTTTAAGCAGCCTCCTCATCAAATTCTTTTAATTTCAGCAAGACCCTGATGATATAGCGAAGGAAAAATGAAGCAGGGCAGAGGAGGGGAGGAGTCAGAGAGTTAAAGGATGGGTTAAGGTAGTGATCAGGGAAGAAGCTAGGAGAGGAGTTAGGGTGGGACCAGGGGAAGGGGCTAGGGAGAGACTGGGCAGGAGTTATGGGATAGACTAGGGGAGGGGCTAAAGGAGGAGTTATGGGAGGGGCTAAGGAGAGACTAGGGGAGGGGCTAGAAGAGTTAGCGAGAGACTAGGGGAGGAGCTAAGGAGATGAGACTGGGGAGAAGCTAGGGGAGGAGTTAGGGAGAGACTGGAAGAGCTGGGGAGGGACTAGAGGAGGGACTAGAGGAGGGACTAGGGGAGGGATACGGGAGGGGATGGGGAGGAGCTAGAGGAGGAGTTAGGGACAGACTAGGAGTGGGGCTAGGGGAGGAGTTAGGGGAGAATCTAGGGGTGAGGCTTGGGGAGGAGTTAGAGGGACTAGGGAAGGAGCTAAGGTAGGGGCTAGGGAAAGAAGTAGTCATGAAAGGAACTAGGGGAGGGGCTGCAGGAGGAGTTAGGGGAGGAACTAGGCGATGAGTTAGGGGAGCAGCTAGTGAAGGGATTAGGGAAGGGGGAGGAGCAGGGGGAGACTCCAGAGGAGGGGCTGGGGAGGTTTTAAGGGAGTGGTTAGAGGTTAGAGGTAGGATCTCTGGAGCTAGAACACCAGGTATGTATGTTGCCTCTGCTACTTCCTAGCCTGTAACCCATCTTAATGGAATTACTTCATCTCTTGGTTTCTCAGTTTCCTTGTCTAAAAATTCTGGATGATACAGTGGCACTTAGCTTCTATGATCCTTTTGAGTATTAAATCAATGAGTTAATCCATGCTAAGTGCTGCCACCATGTCATGGTAGTCTCCAAGCAGGATTGGCAACTAGGGAGGTCAGCAAAGGCTCCCTAAGGAGGTGGCATTTTGGCATGATGAAATGACAAAGTTCTGATACACTAAGCTGATATGGGAAAAAACACTTAAAAGTTTTGATGATTTTGTCTCATCTTACCATTGACTCTACATGGTAATTCATAGTTTCTGTAATTGGAGATACTGGCATTTATCACCATAAGACAGCTAGAAAGTCTAATATTAAGATCATGCTCCTGGCCTTGGTTTTATCCTGTCATTAAAAAAAAAAGTTTTAGACATATCTGAAAGAGAACAAATGCTGAAGCATCTTTAATTCACACTACTTGTGGGCTGAGAACTGAAGCTTAAGTTGAAAATTCAAAATAGACTTTGCCTATTAACACGGTTTTTTAAATCCTAGAATCTTAGATGTAAAAAGTCAATCATGCGATTAATATTAACAATCATCTATTAAAATAATTCAAGGCTCCACAGGAAAGACAAAGTACGGAAGCATGACTTCTAGAGTACACATGCTGTTCTGAACGATGGTCAAAGACGGACAGCAATAAACATCAAATCGAGAATCCATACAGCCAGTGCTATGTAGGGTCACAGAAGACAGCCAACGGGGCTTAGAAGAGCAAGTTATAAAACTGTACACATCAGTTCAATAATCACAAATAACTTCCCCTGCACACTGTGCAAACCCCCCCACTACCATGGGCTTTTGAAACAGACAGACTTGAGTTCTTCCATGCCTTGTGGAGCCTCATTTTTTCTGCATGGGGAAAATATAGTTTCTCAAGGTATTTTCAGGATTTAAATGAAACAACATATAGGAGACACCTAGTATGATAGATATGCAATAAATGTTAATTTTTTTCCTGCACTAAAGGGGTGATATTCTCGCACTTTTTTTTTTTTTTTTTTTTTTTTTGCTGAACACCTATGCTTTCTCCACCATCTCAATATGCTGTCCCTCACTAGTATGGTTCAAATTTGTCCTCCAAAGTTCATGTGTTGAGAGCTTAATTTTCAATGCAACAGTGTTGGGCAGTGGGGACTAATAAGAGGTAATTAGGTCATGAGGGCTCTATCATCATGAATATGTTAATTTCATTGCCACAGAAGTGGGTTATCACAGAAGTGGCTTTGCTATAAAAGTGAGTTCTGCTCCTTCTTGCTGTCTCATCCCGTCTTGCCCCTCAGCCTTCCACCATAGGATGATGCAAGAAGGACCTCACTAGAGGTGGGCCCCTCAGTATTGGACTTCCCGGTCTCCAGAACTGTAATAAATACATTTCTTTTCTTATTAATTACCTAGTCTGTGGCACTCTGTTATAGCAACACAAAAAAGACTAAGACATTCACTGTGACATACTTAGAATATTTTCCCCCTCAAGGTCAGCATCACTTTCTTCACCTCTTCTGTGAAGAATTTCTAGTCTAATTAGAAACTGAATTATGATTTTTCTTACTGCAACCATTTCTTTACAGATAATTCACAAATGATGCTATTTAATACATATTATAAAAATAGCATACCTCAATCAGTACTCTATATGTGAAGGTTTTATAAATGCTGTCTGATTTTGGCAACAATGAGTATGAGAATAAAAGAGAAATAATTAAGCATTTTCAATGTTCATTTGAATTATGCCCCTAGGCAGTGTTGATGGAAGCAAAACAAAATAAAAATCAACTTTGTGGCTTAAATTAAAAACTTGATGCAACAGACTTGCTCATCACACTATACAAGGACTCTAGTTAAATGTTTCCTAAACTTTTCTTCCAGATCACCCACTAAAGACAAATAAGGCCAATATGTACCTTTGGAATCTGAGGGATGTTACAATTTAAAAGCAATAAAATTGTTAATGGTTATTGGCTTATTTTAAAAGTCCTCTTACCTTTACTCATCTATTGTGTATTCACGTTTGTTTTAATAGAAAATACTATTTTCTACCCATATATCTAGGTAATGTTGACAATCTGGGGGAAAAAAAAAATCACATTTATCTCGTAGTTCAAGTATACTCTGAAATGACACTCGTACCATCACATCCACCAGTTTCTCACTAGGGTATGTATACATGCCCTGGAAATGCAGTCCCATTCCATAAATAAGAAAATATATTGGCTACAGAGACCATTAAAAAAATTCGCTTTATTCTGCCAAAATTATATGACCCTCTCTCTAATTCCAGGAACTCAAGACTATCACACAATAAAAGCAAAACCACTCTAGTTTTAAAAAGAAGTTTCTCTGCTGTATCATAAAAATCCAAACTAGTAATGAACTAGAAGGAGCACAAATTCAGTAGAAAACAACAATCAAATTGAAATGCAAAACCAAAGATTCACATTATGAATGGAAGAAAAAATGGAGACTGACAGCACAC